TGCAGCTGCAATGGCTGCTTTGGGTACATGATCCAAACCTCCCCAGAGACCCTGGCTGAAGGAGGACTGTTCCAGCTGGCTGAGAAAAAGCGACAGGCCCACTCCCGCCCACAGCATCCCACGTCGGAGAATGAGGAGGTGAACCTCAGCTTTCGCTCGGAGGTTCGGAGAGCTGTGTGGTGCTGCAAGAATGGGTGGTGGTCGCGGGCTGCTTAGGAGATGGAGTCTGCCTCAGTAGCCTGCAATCACATGTCACTCTTAACTCCATAAAACACCTATCAATATCATTTGGGGAAAGAATGTTGATCCAATCTTCAGCCCCCAGGAACAGGTATGCAGATTTACAGAGCATTTCTGTGAGGTCTTTGGAGAGGGGAATCCCTCAGCCTGGAAAACATCATGGGGCAAAATGGGGATGACTCTGCTGAGGCTGCAGTTCCTCATATTTGAAGGAGTAGTCATTCCCTTTGAGTGGCTGGCTGAAGTGCCATCTGTTGAGGAAGTATGAAAGGCAATCCAGAGTCTGAGACCAGGAAAATCACCGGGCAAAGATGATCTCCCAAGCGAAATGCTGAGGGAGGGTGGCGTTTCTGCGCTGACTGCCCTATATTATATTATAATAACAGTCTGGACAACTGAACGGGTCCTGCAGGACTGAAAGTATGCCCTGGTGGTCCCCTTCTTTAAGAAGGGACCCGCACAGACTGTAACAACTACAGGGGCATCTCCCTCCTGAGTGTGCCGGGAAAGGTCCTGGCAAGGATTATTTAACATCGCTTTGCCAGGCATGCTGAGGAGAGGCTTGCAGTGCCCCAATGTGGTGTCAAGCCAGGGCGGTCCTCCACAGATGCCACATTTTCTGTCCGTCTGCTAGAGCAGAGGTGTAGGGAATTCCAACAAGACCTACATATCTGCTTTATTGGCCTGGTCAAAGCCTATGATACCATCAATAGGCCTGGGCTATGGGTTGTTCTTCATGCTTTCGGAGTCCCTGACACTCTGCTCACGTGTCAACTATGTGGCAGGGATTTAGAGCCATTCCCTGTTCACCTTGGAGTGCGACACGGATGTCCTCTGGCTCCCACATTATTTAAATTCTTTTTTGAAGATGTAGTTCATGAAGCTTTCCAAGTCTGTACCAGAGGAGTCTCCATTTGGTACAGATGTAGTGACATCGGGGATGTCACTGTATGGTGCCGGCTCATAAGGGCCACGCCGTTCGATGTTCCTACATCATGGACAGCACCGTGTGGGTGGCTGTGTGTAACACCAGCCCTAGCGTGGACAGCACCGTGTGGGTGGCTGTGTGTGACACCAGCCCTAGCGTGGACAGCACCGTGTGGGTGGCTGTGTGTAGTACCAGCCCTAGCGTGGACAGCACCGTGTGGGTGGCTGTGTGTAGTACCAGCCCTAGCGTGGACAGCACCGTGTGGGTGGCTGTGTGTAGTACCAGCCCTAGCGTGGACAGCACCGTGTGGGTGGCTGTGTGTAACACCAGCCCTAGCGTGGACAGCACCGTGAGGGTGGCTGTGTGTAACACCAGCCCTAGCGTGGACAGCACCGTGTGGGTGGCTGTGTGTAACACCAGCCCTAGCGTGTACAGCACCGTGTGTGTGGCTGTGTGTAACACCAGCCCTAGCGTGGACAGCACCGTGTGGGTGGCTGTGTGTGACACCAGCCCTAGCGTGGACATCACCGTGTGGGTGGCTGTGTGTAGCACCAGCCCTAGCGTGGACAGCACCGTGTGGGTGGCTGTGTGTAGCACCAGCCCTAGCGTGGACAGCACCGTGTGGGTGGCTGTGTGTAACACCAGCCCTAGCGTGGACAGCACCGTGAGGGTGGCTGTGTGTAACACCAGCCCTAGCGTGGACAGCACCGTGTGGGTGGCTGTGTGTAACACCAGCCCTAGCGTGTACAGCACCGTGTGTGTGGCTGTGTGTAACACCAGCCCTAGCGTGGACAGCACCGTGTGGGTGGCTGTGTGTGACACCAGCCCTAGCGTGGACATCACCGTGTGGGTGGCTGTGTGTAGCACCAGCCCTAGCGTGGACAGCACCGTGTGGGTGGCTGTGTGTAGCACCAGCCCTAGCGTGGACAGCACCGTGTGGGTGGCTGTGTGTAACACCAGCCCTAGCGTGGACAGCACCGTGTGGGTGGCTGTGTGTAACACCAGCCCTAGCGTGGACAGCACCGTGTGGGTGGCTGTGTGTAACACCAGCCCTAGCGTGGACAGCACCGTGTGGGTGGCTGTGTGTAGCACCAGCCCTAGCGTGGACAGCACCGTGTGGGTGGCTGTGTGTAACACCAGCCCTAGCGTGGACAGCACCGTGTGGGTGGCTGTGTGTAACACCAGCCCTAGCGTGGACAGCACCGTGAGGGTGGCTGTGTGTAACACCAGCCCTAGCGTGGACAGCACCGTGTGGGTGGCTGTGTGTAACACCAGCCCTAGCGTGGACAGCACCGTGTGGGTGGCTGTGTGTAGCACCAGCCCTAGCGTGGACAGCACCGTGTGGGTGGCTGTGTGTAACACCAGCCCTAGCGTGGACAGCACCGTGTGGGTGGCTGTGTGTAACACCAGCCCTAGCGTGGACAGCACCGTGAGGGTGGCTGTGTGTAACACCAGCCCTAGCGTGGACATCACCGTGTGGGTGGCTGTGTGTAACACCAGTCCTAGCGTGGACAGCACCGTGAGGGTGGCTGTGTGTAACACCAGCCCTAGCGTGGACAGCACCGTGTGGGTGGCTGTGTGTAACACCAGCCCTAGCGTGGACAGCACCGTGTGGGTGGCTGTGTGTAACACCAGCCCTAGCGGGGCTTGGCGAGCACTGGGATAGTGCAGGCACCACGCACAGCGTGTGGTGGGGGCTCCCACGAGGGGGAGAGGGTGACCGTCAGCCCAGGGTTGCCCCGGGCCATGGCACTCTGGTTGACCCCGTAGACACGTGATCCCGAGTGTCCACACAGGGGGCCCCAGGTGGGGGGGCTAGTGGGTGATCACGTGTCAGGGGAGAGCTCTTGAGAGAGATCGAGAGGGAATGAGAATGGTCGAGAAGGCGGGCGGGGCCGAGGGCGGAGCGGCCCCGTCCGTAGGGGGATATAAGGCGGGTCCCTGGGAGGGACCGGGGTCGCTTTGTTCTACAAGCTGGAAGCTTTTCGTCCTATGAGGAACCACGTGGTCGGAGACCCGAGTGAGGGTCCGACCCTTCGTAGCAGTGACTCCTCTGTATAGTGTAGTTAGCTGGGTGGTCACCACTCCAGGCTGTATCTGGTAAAGGGGCAGTTACCCCTTTGTGTTATGGTGTTACAAAATAAATGTGTTGCCTCTAAAAGAAACAACGTCTGCGATTCAGTTGGAATCACTACACAAATAGAATGGGAGGCTGATCGATGCCCGGGTGCGGTCAAGGGATGGCTCCCTATTGGTCAACCATGTTATGTATGCTGATGATCTGGTGATTGCTGCTCACTCAGAGGAGGAGTTGGAGGTGATGTAGCTGAACCTGTAACGTGCCACTAAGAGGCGGGGCCTTACCATCAGCCCCACCAAAACTAAGCACCGACCTGGGTATTTTGTGCCATCAAATGCTTCACCCTCTTAACTCCCCATTGGTGATGGGGCAGTTGTGGCGAGAGTAGAGCGTTTTCCAAAACTGGACAGTGTGCTTATGACCAGCTCTGGTTTGACAGCAGAGGTCTGCGTAACGCAGTGTGGAAGCAACCTGGTCTGTCACTCCCGCTGAATCTCCGGGTCTTCTCGGCCACGGTCATGCCCTCTATGCTTGCGAAACATGGACCCCCCTAAAGGAACATCTTCACTGGTTAGAAACATTTAGGCTGGCCTGCCTATGATCCATCCTGGGTTTAACCAGGATGGAATGTGTGAGGAGCTTACAAATCCTTGAAAGATCAGGACAAAGTCCCATCGATGACCTCCTCCGGCAGGCAAGGTTGTGTTGGCTGGTTCATGTAGCCCGCATGCACAGCCACCACATGCCTAAACAGCTTTTGTTCGGCCGAATAGAGGGGGATAAATGGGCGCAGCCGGGGCTAGAGAAGAGGTGGAGTGGTGTGGAACTGAGTGGATTTACCAATGATTGGTACCAGTGGTGTCAACATCGGCCTCTGTGGAGGAGGCTTGTGAAGGACACTACTGGGCAGTTGGAGGCAGTCGCCCTCCAACAACAACAGATGACAGAGGAGCGACGCTCACAACAACGAGCGGAGTGCCGGGTGGCTAAAACAAAGCAGGTTGGCACAGTAGGGGGCACAGATGGTGCATCGGCTAGTCATCTCAGTCAGTCAACCCATGGCACATGGGTCTGTCTCGTGACCTGCCAGCGGGCGTTTGATACTTTAAAGTGCACTTAGCCATGCAAAAGCCCTGTGGTGACGTCACCGCCACTTAGTGGCGAATGGCGGTTGTTGTTGCATTACAGGTAAAGATATACATCTTGTGCATTCGTACTTATTATGCATATCGATGGCTGTTTGAGCATGCTCGTGTGCATGAATGCAGGTGGTTATTCCTGCCTCTGGGTTATTAGTTCAGGCCCACGTAATCTGTGGCTGTGTCTGTCTGGCTGTGTGTGTGTGTTAGGGAGCAGTAGCGTAGCGATTAGTGTACTGTGGTATGAACCCGGTAACCTGAGTCCGATTCCCGTTCGTGGTTAACATAAGTGACGAAAATCTGTAGCTTTCTCAATATTGACTCAGCCTTAAATTATTACCTGGTGTCGGATGCAAAAAAAATCAGCAATGGCAAGACAAAGGTGGCCAAGAGCGGCTCTGGCCACGCTGTGCCAGCATTCATAGGTACATTGCTAACATCACTCGCACCCAGCGGGCTGCATGGCGACAGGAGGTATTTTTTTTCTGGGCCGTGCATCCCTGCTTGTGCGTATCCGGGTGTGCGTGTGGATCTAGCCATGCGCACCCGGCCGTTTGTCCATTTTGCCAGCTTGTGACACCTTGCATGCGTGTGCGATGCCGGGTATCTGCAGACCTGCGGGGCTTGCAGTCATTCCTGGACCAAGCGACGCGGCAGGGCCTCAGCGTGTCGCTGCAGCGCGTCGACGCTAATGTCAGCTCCCTGCTGGCCGGCCTCTTCTCCTCACTGCCCATTGAGGAGCTCAACCGATTCCGCGACCTGCTGCGTCGCACCGTGCTGCTACTCAGCCCACGCAATGCCAAGGTGTTCATCGCCGAGGTGAGGTCACGTCACTCAGAGGGCGCGTTTCCTCTGAGCCTGTGTGTGTGTGTGTGTGCGCGTGTAATTGGGGAGCGATAGTGTAGCGGTTAGCGCGCTGCGCTATGAACCTGGCGACCCGGGTTCGATTCCCGCTCACGGCCAACACCAGTGACGATTATCTGAACCGGTCCCGGGCCTCCCCTAGGTCGACTCAGCCTCAAATGAGTACCTGGTGCGGTGTGTAAACATTGCCACTAGGGAGACAAAGGCGGTCGGGCGTGGTGCTGGCCACCCACCCCCTCGTGTACCGTTCCGGCCTTCATAGGTGCTCGCTAACAGCACTTGCCCCTACAGTCTGTTCAGGCTATACGGGGGATCTTTTGTGTAATTGTTTACGTATCTTCGTTCATTTGTGTACATCCAATCGAGTCTTATTCTGGTCTCGTGCAGGCTTACGTAGAGCGACCGCGAAAGCAGCAATTTTAAATCCACGCGGCGTCACTATTCAGGGTACGTGAATGCCTTTCAGGTTGCAGATTGGAAACCGTGCAGGCGAAATGTATACTGTGCAGGAGAAAACAACGTGACAAACACGAATACAGAGAGTTCATTAATTGCAGATACACCATCTTCACATTTCTATTTGGGGCAGCGCTACGTCATGTGGTCCACGGTTTGGAGATTGCAACTGGATCCTCGTACAAGAGCGACCCTTTGATTACCTGAACAAGTAGAGGACCTGCTCTATACAAATGACACATGCAATTACAATGGTGAGCAGGTAAAATAAAGCACAAAGACACCCATTACACCTCGCATTTAATTAAAACCACACCCCTTGCTTCTTTGAACGCTCGAGAAATAAAAGCCCTAGACTTTTTCATTCTTCCCCCCATTAACAAAAACTGTTTCACGTTAATCATCAGGTACTTAATCATCTCTGCGGCAATGTGGTGGAAGCGAAGGGTTTTGCCAGCGGTGAAATTAAGGCGATGAAAGGTGTCCTTCACTTTACTGGGTGGAAAAAAAATCAAGGTCTCCATCACGGAGGGGGGTCAATCACGTGTTTTTGCACATGCCACACACACACACACACCGGGCACGGGGTGTATAAATAACACTGCACGAGGACAATTGGCGCGCGTCCTTTGTGATGTGCCCCCCCCCCCTCCCGCGACACCACGGCATGATTTGCTGATTTGGAGGAAACCACGCTTGACCTTGTTACAGATTTAATGTTTGGGTTTTTTTGCGAGATGATGGACACTGGAAGTGTTTCCCCCCCCCCCCAACGAAATATTGCACACTCTGCGATCACTCTCCCCGCTAAGTGCTGACCCTGTAAAAGTCTGGTTTGAACGTATGTGCATTTAATGTGGAATGAATGAGCCCTTGTTGACGTTTTAAAATCGTAGCATCGGCGTATTTAAAAATGGGCATAAATAGAATGTCTTATGGAGTTTTTTTTTATAAATTCCTCGGTGGCGAGATGTTAACTACCTCACGCGGTATACAGGAGGTCGTGGGTTCGATCCCGACCCTGACGCCTCTATATTTGGAGTTTGCATGTTCTCCCCCTGGTGGCGTAGATTTTTCTCCGGGTCCTCTGTTTTTTTTTCCACCACATTTACAATCAACATTTCAGAATAGAGTCATTGCTGTAAATGTACTGAAAATCCTTATCTTTAAAATCTTTATTATAAGTAATACATCGATGTAAAAAAAATAATGTTGATTCCACTGCGGCTCCATTTACAAGAATCATAGTATTTGTAATCCGGGGTCTGAAGTCATCAAGTCGGACCACGTCTTAGCTCCGAACACAAACTCAGATCTCACCATTGTCTGACGTCACATTGTTAATGTTTCCGGCATCCAGCCTTGTACACTCATGAGGTGGAGTTTCGGGTTCACCAGCGATATTGTCTCTGTTTCACCGCATCCCAATCTTGTGGATCTCTGGAACTGGTTCTGATCTTCTCTCCCTTCCTCTACTAAATTCATCTTGACGTGTTTACCACTCACCGAATGTAGGTATTCACTCAAAAGTCTTCTCCACCTCAACAACTGGAACTGAATGAATGTATGTTAAACGTCTTTCCCGCCGTACGTAGCCAACCGTGCTAATCCGAGGTGCGGGGAAAGAACAACAAACTTTACACAAAAAGCAATTCGAAAGAAATGAGTTTCAATCAAGATTTGAAAGTGCATAGCTCCAGTAGCCTCTTAATATCGGAAGGAAGAGCGTTCCAGACGGCTTGCGATTCACATCTGAAAGCACGTGATGCAGCGACTGTCTTTGTTCAATGGTTGCCCAAAAGCTGCTTCTGCGAGGATGACTGAAGTTTGTGGGATTATTTATGCTCCTTGACGAGATCAGCAAGGCATTGTGGTTCATTTGTGCAAACACTTTGTGTGCAATGAGTGCGACCTTACAATGTATTCGTTCAGCAACCAGAAGCCACTGCAGCTCAGTGAGCACTGGACGAACATGGTCGGATCGTGCGGAACTCGTCAAAACATACGCCGAAGAATATTGTACATGTTGCAGCTTGGTAATGTTTTACCAGACGTCCCATGGAGTAGTTGAGTTGCAATAATGGAGCCTTGTTGATACTATGCTACTAAACGCCACCGTTTTTACACGCGACCGTTTTTGGCTATCGTGGTCAAATTTCAGGGCCTGAATATATTCTGCACGTGGTGATCAAACGACACATTCTGGTCGAGTATGGTGCCGGAGGCTCTTGAGATGAGTAGAAAACTGAATCCTGGAGCCTGTGATAGCCATGCCTGATCCTTCCACGATTTTTTTTTTTCGCTTGAGCCCGAGTGTCAACCACCAGAAGCTCTGATTTTTTTTTTTGCATCAAGCAGCATTTCGTTTCGTGCAAAACCTACACTTGCACCACTCGCATGCAATGTTCGACATTACCGAGGCTCCCGCATATCTAACTTTGACTTCACTGCGGTGTACAATTGTGTATCATCATCGTATTGATGGAACTTGTTGTCACGCCACGACATGAGAGACGTGTGTTGATAATAGGAAGGGCCCGAAGACGGACCCCTGTGGTACGCCAACTCGGCATGGGCATAGGAGAGCCAACTCATTGAAGTGCGTACGATCTGCGAGACTTAATAATGAGTCCGTTGGCAGATCTGCAGGAGGCTCGGTAAGCGAGCCGGACAGTCTCGAAGCAAGTTTTCTTCCAAAGATGCTCCAGACTGCTCCGCGTCTGCTTCAGAGTGATCGCCTTGGGTTTCAGCCAGTGAACTGTGTGCTGTTTCTGTTCTCTTTGTGGTTGTTGTTCGGATGGGCACCACCTCCTCAAGAACAGCAGCGATGTCATTTTCCAAATGAGCTGAAAATGAATCGTTGTGAGATTTAAACACGCCGATGATGATCGGATCTTCTGACGGAAAGCATCGTGGTCCAGTCGTTCCCAGTCTCTGTATGCTGTCGTTGTGACGGGTGGGCAGATAATCGGTCATGCCCTTTCACATCACGAGACTGTGATCTGAAATACCCAGGTCTTCAGTGACGTCGGTCACAGTTATGGCATCCAGTATATTTCCTGAGCGATATGTCGCGCCGCTGACATTCAGGGTTAAACTGTGACTTTCAATGACCTCGGCCAGATCACTGTTGATTTTACCACAAAAAACAGTTGGTCCGAGACAGTTCAAGTCACCACAGATGATGTAGACAGTGGTGAAGACGGACGTCCATGGATGACAGTGACCGTGAGCCCCTGCATGCTGCTCGTTATTTTCACAAGCAGCGGCTCGAATAACGTGGTTGTTCATGAGTCGCTCAGGAGTTTCACACAGATGTCTTCATGGTGAATCGATGCGACCCCACCACCGTGTAGGCTGCCAGTGCCAGGCTTCCCGCGACAGTGCTGATATACGATAGCGTCTCCGTTAGGTGCAGCCTCATGCTTATTTACATCGGGTGAGTCGTCAACGTTGTGGTGCTGAGATCAGTTCATAGTTTCAAGAAAGCCACGCTTAAACGAAACTGGCCATCAAGATAAATATTTCGCAATTGTAAAAAACCTTGATTCGTTGGTCAACTGTGCTACTCGAATACCAATCTGTCTCAGACCGGCCCAGTACCTTTGGTCTGCTCCTAACTTTTGTCCCAACTCCATGGACAGTTGATGTTACTGCACCAAATGGCTCATCTGACCACTGCCCAATCACTGTAAAGGAAGACTACACCCTGAGACGTAAACTTAATAAGGCAAACCGCACTATTTTGCTGATGCAACAATGCTGATTGGGATGGCCTCCATGACTTTTATTCATCCTTACCCTTGGCACACGACCTTTTTTGGAACAACTGTTTCATCAGCATTTTCCACGGCTGTTACTGATGTTATACTGGTGAGCATGACAAACTTCATCCCTAATTTTAGTGTTTTTGGAGAAAAAGTACTCTCTAAAAACGACCATGTTTAACCAAAACTGCCAAGCAGCAGTCTCTTGATGCCTCTCATCTCTTGGCAAATACAAAGGTGCAAGGAACAATTGCGAACGTGTCACCGAGAAAGAAAATCTGGACTTATAAATTGCAAATCCAAGAAAATTGGCGGCATCTTCTCCGGTCGGCTCTCGTCCTTTCTGGTCTCTTTCCAAAGCTGTTTTAAAACACATTCTGCATTTTCCACAAATAAATGATGGATGCAGGTCCCTATTGACACAAAGGACAAGGTCAATGTCTCTTGATAACAACAATTAAGTGCCACCTTCAGCAATTCGTTTTCAGCAGTCAGATTAAGCACCTTTAGATTCACGGTGCAATACGTATGACGGGTAGTCATCCAAACTTAACACCACTAGGGGCGTGTGGTCCATGATGGTTATGCCAGATATTGTGCTTAACATGTGTGTTCCAGAACTTGCACTGGTTTTCTTTTTTGTAAGGCTCTGCCAGCTCGAAAATAACACCCCCACTCTCTACCAACAACTGGGAAATCAGCTCAGGCCCTGCCAGTCCCAGAAGAAAAGGG